TCACCAACAGATTTGTCTTCAAGTGTTGTAGATCTGAGTTCCGCTCGTAGTTGTCTTGCTTTCGCACGTGTAAGCTTTTGAAAATGCGCAAGAATACGTTCCCAGAGCTCGTAGGAATGAACGCATCCAAGAACACGTGAAAGAATTGAAGGTGAAAGCGTGGATTGAAGCCACGTCATAAGCCACTGATCTTGCGTAATCCAGGTGCGATACGCAGGGTTCTCACGAGCAGCGGCACGATCTTCATCAGTCAGGTATTGATTCGGTATGACACGAAGGTAAAGGTAGTTTTGAAGATTGTTCGCGTTAACGAAAGGATCTACTTGTTGGCGCCAAAGTAGGAAATTCTTCTCATCAAGTTTTTCTGTGATTTTGAGTTGGAAGGACATAGATGTTGGGGTGGCCGGAGCTGTAGTTACTGGAATCGCTGCCATGGATAGAACCGAAGCTCTATGATACCATATTAGAGTGAGATATGAGAGAGAAGAGAGAAAAAGCTAAAAGAGAAAAGAGAGAAACAGATTCTGTTATTGCTGAATTGGAAAGGAGCATTATGCTCTATTTATACAAGAGGAGATGAACATTCAAGAGTTGAATCATTCAAGCTCTACAATTAAGGAAGACTTTTCTTATTCTATTAAATTAAGGCTGGACTTAATTATTCTATAGTGCTGATTATTCATATTCTAAGATATAACTCTAATAACAATAATGCTTCTTTGGACTTGCAGGTTATACTGATCCTGATCCATCTAAATCACATTTTCCCCGCTTGCATGAATGGCATTTTCGCTCCGGGCTTGATCGCTATATATGGATAATTGGAATGATATATGCTTATTATCATCCAACTGTGAGTTTCTCATTTTAAGTTTTTGAAATAGCAAAGACAATTCTATCATTCACCTCCACCCTCTCTATGATTAGTGATGATTTTGAAGTGGCTGAATATGGCCCGGTTGGGATGATCCTTCTAGCTTGTAGGAGTTTCTAAATGAAATAAAATTATTGATATCCACTTTTCAGAAAGTCCATATAAGCTGTTGGCGGAGATATGCTAAATGAGAGAACTTCTAGAAAAAAATGAGATGCAGAAGATAATTTCAAAATATATGTGAAGCTGTTTAAAAAACATCTTAGTTCTTGCATGATTCTTAATATTTTTTTCCCTTAGTTCTTGTTTCTTGAGAATTTATCCAAATAATCTCTATGCCCGGTTTCTGCCTCTTTTCCTTTCTATTCTTTTTTCCTTTTAGCTGACTACGGTAGTAACTATCACATGATATTATAGGTTGAACGATGGATGGAGAAATTGGAGGAAACTGAATTCAAACGCAGAATATCAATCAAAGCTGCTGTCGTGCTAATATCTTTAGTGGTATAATATATATATTTTTAATTTTTGAGTACAATCAGTGGTACTGTTGTTGAACTAATACACATTTGATTTGTTTTATTTTGTGACCCTAACTGCTTGAGTTAATTTCTAGATGGGTTATTTTTGGTTTGAGCATATATACAAGCTTGACAAGGTCACTTACAACAAATACCATCCTTATACCTCTTGGATTCCCATAACGTATGCCCATGTTTCCTTGATGTATCATTTTTGGGCCTTGAGTCATTCAAGACCTTTCTAGTGTTTAACATGCCATTTATTTATTTTACAGGGTTTACATATGCTTGCGCAATGTTACACAAAGTTTTCGTAGCTTTTCGCTGACCCTTTTTGCGTAAGTTGTATTTGTACACCAGAACTTTATTAGCCTCTCTCTTGCTCCTTTCTCTTAGCACACATTTAAAGATGCACTGCTATGTAATCATATACTTAACGAGATAGTTTGTGCTACGAAAGTATTTATGTATTCCATTGTGGTAACTACTTTGTTTAAGGTTATTAATTATGAACTAATTTCCTAATGTTTCTATTTTCCTAGATGGCTTGGAAAGGTTACACTGGAGACTTACATCTCACAGATTCATATATGGTTAAGGTATTCAGAAGCTAATTTCTTGCTTGTAGCTTTTACCGGTGCCTTACTAGAAATAGTTCATATTTATCTTGATAGATTTGAGGGGTGTTTAATACTCACTGAAATGCCAACAATCTTAGATTTCTAGACATGAAATACCTGGATCAAGGATGATAGGGAACATAGAACTCACATGCTTGGCACCGTATCACATAGATTCCTAAATTCTTGGATGCGCTTGTTTGGTTATGCCTTTCAATGTCATGCAACTTTGAATTCTGTTTTTTGAAATTTGACTGAATTTCTCGAAACACCATTTTCCAATTTGTATGTATGAATGTAGCAAAAACCAATTGTTATACATAAATTTACCTTTGCATAAAACTATCAAATATGTACTAGTATTATAACAGTGAAATAAAATAATGCATTGTTCTACAAATAGGATGAACCAGTAGTTACTATTCAAAACTCAGTTTTTCAGTTAATCCTTTTTATATCTTAATGAATGTCAAAAAGGGGAAAATCCTAGACAAACATGCATACTAACACGCGCAAAAGGATTTATGTGTGCATGCCCAATGCTACTTTTGTATGTAATTTATTTATTTATCCTAATGACATAATTGTTCTTTCTCTGATTGGTTGATTTTAGATCAGGCATTCCAGATGGTCAACCCAAGTTGTTGCTTTCCCTGATTCCAGACTACCCAATGTTGAACTTCCTGCTTACTACTTCTATATATGTTGCAGTAAGTAAACACCACTGATGGATTTATTTAAGTTCTGTATGCTTATTTATTCTGGTTTTAAAATTCTACTTGCCTGCAGATTTCCTATAGGCTCTTTCAGCTGACCAATACACTGAAAATTGCATTTGTGCCTAGCAAAGATGACAAGCGTCTGCTACACAACATAATTACAGGGACAACAATCTCAGTTGTTTTATATTCATTATCCTTTGCCTTCCTTACGATACCGCAAGTCTTGGTAAGTATTATTACACTGACTTGATATGGTCCGAGTCAGTTGATTATCCTTGCATCCTAGTCATTTTCTGTCAACTATTTTAAGTTGATGATTTGTTCATACACGGCACATAAGCTGGGAGTATGGTTTTCACACCTGTAAATGAACACAATTTGGGGGTAATACGTGATAATAGGGACAAGAAAGTGATAATTCGGCCGGCTAGAAAGGGACAAGAACTGGTAATTAAGTTACAGAGAAATAGGGACAGCCCTATTTATAAATATAGAAGATTGCTTCCTATACCTTAAAGTCCACACCGTAAACCTTGTCCAGCAAGCAGTTCATGTAGTGGAAGCTTAGTCCCCTAGTCAAGTGATTTCGTTGTTGGACGGTTTCCCTCTCCATCATAGGATTGTCTACCTTTGTCTGTTCCCATTTCCAGCATTTTTCTTAACTAACCAGTAACCAAGTCCTTCCAATTTCCACAGCAAGAAGAAAAGAGATAGAAAGGAAAAATGCATCTGTTCCTTCTCTTCTACTCCAGTTCCTTAACTAACCAAAACCTTCCAATTTCCACAGTTCCACCATACCCTTTGTAGCATTTTTCTCACTATTTCTGTTTCCTCAAAATTGGTTTCCCACCTTGCTTGTGATTTGTGATACCATGTTCTTTTTTCTCCTCTCACTGTAGTTCTGGTTCATGATCTCCTTCTATCTTCTTACTCTTAATGGTTTTCGTATCCTTTATTGGATCTAAAGACAAGGATACTTCATTAATCTTTTAGAATGTCAAGAATCTGGTTATATATTTTTGATAGACTTTGACAACCCCCGAATCCATCCATGCGCACTTCCTTCAGCTCCATGATTGGAGCACTGATGAGATGATACTCATCCATGACAAGAGAGATCCCCTATAGTCCCTTCCTCTTGTTTATTCATACAACTTAGCCTAATCCTCCTCTATCCAACTAAGAGGTTTTTCTATCAGAAACATATATGCATGCATGCCCTATAAATAAGCTGCAGTCTGCTTATGTTTTTAATTTTATATTTGCATCTGGTTACAATATGCATCTATCTAAACACTCATAAATTTGCAGGTTTGAGTATTTAAACATGTATAGTATATGTTGCAAGCTTGTGCCTGTTTCAATGGACACCGAAAAATGCTCTGCAGCTGGTGCAGTTGATTTGTCAAGTGTATTTAGAGAAAGATGCAAAGTCTTCACAACTCCCCCCACAAAAAAAACTACAAAAGGAAGATGGAACCCTTTCTTTCTAATAGGCTAGTTGCTGCAATTTTAGAAAGTTGTATAAAAAATGGGTGAGAAGAGGGCAGTGGAGGGCATGTCTTTTATTAGTTATGCAACCTCATTCTTTTTGTTAGTGTTGTAAAATAATGTCTCTAATACCATTTGCCATTCATTATGCCAAAGTCTTTGATTGGGAGTTATGAGGGAAAATGTTGGAGGAAGGGAAGATATAAGAGTCCCTCACTTTCTCTGGGAGTGTTCTTGAAGGGGTCAAATTAGAATACTAAGTAAATTGTTTTGTTCATTTTATCACAAAAGGAATTAATGAATTCGAATTTTATTCAAGAAAGTTTAAAACTCCTTCAGTGAATTTGAAATTACTGTACTTGTGTTTATAAACATGATAACGATTAACCCAAAAATTATGAACATGTAACCTATTGATCATGAACTTGTTTTAGCGTCTCAATCACAAATGCCCCTTTCAAACAGAATTACGTTTCTTGACAGTGACCCTTACACTCGTCGTACTTGATGTCATGCATGATAAGAAAGACACTTTTACTTTGTAAGAATATTACGTGAGAAATTTGCAAAGACGACAATAATCAGTTTATAAGGCATATTCTTCATTAAAGAAATATTGCTTAGCATATTCTTTTCTAGTTCCTAGTCATTTACAGAGGTTCCCAATTTTTAATAAACCAACAGCAATAAATCATAAAAAATATATGCACAAGTGCATCACATGAAACATAATAATCTAATCTGAATCATCATAATCAGATTATATTATACACTAATTAACTAGAATTTGATCTTCCTTGCTTGCCAATTTCCTAGCTTGGAACAACGACACTGGAAAAGACATAGACAAACCAACCAAAGACTTAAACGTAATAAACGTCCCCCCTTTAACTGGCTTAACATAAATCTCATTCAAAGTGAACCAAACCAAGAAATCCCTAGCCTTCACGCCAGTAAGTTTCTTGATCTTGTTTGGCTCCATATAAGCTGTAACAACTGAATCATAACCAACAACAATATTATCAAACTTACTCTCCATCTTCTTCCCAAGCTTGAGCCAAACAAAACCTATCTCCTTTACATGCCCACACTCTTCAATATCTTGTATGGTTAATAATCCATCTGGTAGACCCTTTTCTGCCAGCAATAGAGAGAACTTCTCCCTGCAAACTTTGTCACCATAATACACCTCTGCTCTTGCCTTCAACTCTTCGGTCACCAAAGGCATTGCTTGAAGGTTTGTGTATCAAACAAAGGTTTTGGTGTTGGTGGTGCTTATAACACATGAAAATACATATATGGGACCGACAGAATATTGATAATATTTTATGCTGCGACCAAATAGTTCAAGGTTCTTCTTTTCTTTGTCTAGAGATAAACTTAAGAGGTGGGGTGGATTTTAACTCAAGCCTCTTTATACGGAAATTGTTTTACATAAGAACTTTCTGATGCTAATATGCTATTATATATCCTAAAGAAACTAAAATATATTAACTGTTTAAGGTTTTGTGTTACTAAAGTTTGAGCATATTCTCCGGATTTCTTAAGAGAAATATATATATTTTAAATTTCTTCTGACTACAAATAAATCATATTCATGGCATTCTTGGTATGTTGAACAGTTAATAATTGTAAATTAAAAAAACAAAGTTCACTAATATATATATATATATATATATATATATATATATATATATATATATATATATATATATATATATATATATATATATATATATATATATATATATATATATATATATATATATATATATATATATATATATATATATATATATATATATATATATATATATATATATATATATATATATATATATATATATATATATATATATTTATATATATATATATATATATATAATGGAATTGAGTTATGTTTAAATTGATAAAATAGAATGGAGGAATAAAATGAAACATGATAGAATTGAGTGCAGCGGAACGAAATAAAATATATTTGTATATTTTTTATAATTTGATGGAATAAAATAAATAAATTCATTCTATTGCATATACTCTAAATTGAATAAAATGAGAGTTGAAGGTTTGGATAGAATAAGATAGAATCTATTTCATCAATTCTATCCTTTTTTTACCAAACACAACAATAAAACATAATTTTATTCTATTTTATTTTACTCCATTCTCTTGGCATTCCATCAATCAAAATTTTAAGGTTGCTAATTTTAAAAATATATATCTTTATATCTCATTTTTGACGAGTATTGAAAATCCTTAATTTTTTTGAGACTGATAATATTCTTTATTTTTGACAATATTCTCTAGTCCTCTATATTATAATAATATTAATAAAATAAATATATATTCTTAAGAGAATTTCTCAATTCATTATATATATATATATATATATATATATATATATATATATATATATATATATATATATATATATATATATATATATATATATATATATATATATATATATATATATATATATATATATATATATATATATATATATATATATATATATATATATATATGTACGAAAAGAATCGGTTGGACGCAGCCAATATATTTTTTGAGACTTCTAAAAAACACTATTTTGATCATCCGAACACAGTCTGATCTAGAAGGATCATTCTGAAAGTTTCATTGTAAACGTGTTTGATTTTTTTAAATATTTTTATATTGTATAATGATTATAGATATGATATATTATGATGTTATCAATTAGTCTCTAAGAAATTAGATATTGTTGGATAGAATGTTAATGTATTAAAAATCGATAAATTAGATATTGTTGAAGTTTATGTTAAAAAGTATTTTATCACTAATGAAACGTTTATGTTACATGATCATATATTTAAATGAATTTGTGGAGAGACTGTTAAATTAAGTTTTGGTGTAGTCATCGAGAGGTATGATTCAAATTTTAATAGAAGAAAAATTTACATTGTGACATGTTGTGAAAGAGATGGTGAGAATAAAGAAATAAATATAAAGTTGAAATGTGATGACACCAAATAAAAAAACGAGTCAATAAAAAAAGACACTTCAAATAAAACTCAAGAAAGATGATTGACATGAAAGAAGTGCAGTGTTATTGTTGTCAAATATTTGATCACTATGTAAAAGATTTCTATTGCAGCAAATACTCAAGAGTAAAAGATAACGAAGAAGTTCAATATTCAATGCAGGAGGCAGTATGTTGATGACGTGTCGTTGATGGCTAACACTCAATCAAATGGTGAAAAAAATAAAGTTTGGTATCTAGATTCAGAGTGCAACAACAATAACAAAGACAAGTTCATTATGCTAGATGAATCACTAAAAAAGTGATAAGATTTACAGGTGATAGACATGTTAGATTAGAAGGGAATGAAAACATAACAGTGGAAAGAAAGGACGGTCAAAAGGTTGCGATTTCTGATGTGCTATATGTGCCTTCAATGACAAGTAATTGAATAAGTATATGTCAATTACTTGTCAAGGATTATATTATAAAGATGGAAAATAAGTAGATGAAGGTATATGATGTATAATGAAGATTGATCTTGAAAGCACCACTAGCAGACAACAAAAAATTTAAGATAAGAATCAATATGATTGATCATCAATGCCTTGCCTTAACTTTGAAAGATGATAAAATTGGATAAGACATCAATAGGTATGATCATCTGAATTTTAGAAGTCTAAACATTTTTAATAAGAAGAAGATGGTGTATGATCTTCCTCATATAAAAGGAGACAAGTCAGGTCTTTAAAGAATATTGCAAAGTCAAACAAGCCAAGAACTCATTCAAACACGATTTGCCTATGAAGTCAAAGTAGAAATTTGAGCTTGTCCACCTGTTTACCGTGAAATTTGGTAAATAATCGCTAGACTCTTTTTAAAAGTTTACTTGCAAGATCAACTAGTGAATTCTAGAATATAATGCCTAAATTTTTCTGAGTTTTGTGCAAGTTTGTGAGAAAAGAAAAGGATTTTGACGTAGGCGAAATCTTGGTACTAAAGTAAGAGAAATAAAAGTAAAATTGCTAGAAACGTAAAGGACTTAGACAATGGTCGAAATCGTGAAAATTGAAAGTAAATGACTTGGAATGTAGAAAAGATAAATTTTATATAAACGACTTTTTTGCATTGAATGAAATTAGTGTTTGAATACGTACATTGCATTCAATTGACTCGTTTCTCGCTTCGTTTGGATACTTTGAGTATACCGAGTTTTTGTAGTAAATTCAACACCACATATTTTAACAATAGAACTCCCATTTATACTAATATTAAAATATCTGTCTCTAACATATTTATTCTTGGAGATCGAAACGTCTTCGATGCATGTATTTCACCCTTGGATTCGCCTTAATGTGTACTTTTGGATAATACCAAAAAATAGTTCCGCTGCTTTTCTCTCGCCTGACCTATCGACGTCAAGGACGCATGCCAACCATTTCATCGAAAACTTTGACTGTATTGGTTTTCGTTAAAGTATTCTTGAGAAAAATGCTAAGTCCCAATTTCTCATGCTTGACACTCTGACTAGATGATCTTGATGAGGTTATGTCAAAGATGCTCTTCTACCCCTCCAAATTCCACTTAGTTTTCTCTAAACTCCTTCTCATCTTATTGAGCTTATTGTGGTCGAACATCTCAGCTAACAAATTGTCCCCGAAAATGTCACTTTCAACTAACCAGAGATAATGGTATTTTTGAATTATATCAACACTATAACTAGTACTTTACTGACGACATGGTCATCATGACCACTTTATCAAACGTCACTTTGAGACGTGTGAATTTAGAAAATCTCAATCATGGCTTTGATTTACAAGGAAAAATGCGGGCCACACAAATTAACCACTTGATTCGTCTTCTAGGCACATCACACGTGTTCCACGATCAACACCATTTATCAAAATGCAATTGAAGAGTCTCCCTCTTTCCTTCTATAAATACTCTTTATTCTTCATTTCTTCCTCTTTTTTCTTTTCATCTTCCGATTTATTTTAAAAAACTCCTGAACTTTTATCTTCTAGAAACCCATAAACCTCTCTCCTTCAGCGAGTCATTCATCATTCTCCACCATGGTTTCTTCAAAGTCAAAGAACTCAAAGGATTATACGAGCTAAAAGTGGGAGGGTTTTTAAAATAAGAGATAAGAGAATTAAATGCTAACAATTAGATTTGATAAATGGTCTTGATGGAGTCACATGCAAGCATATACAATAAATGTTCATCAAGACCATTTATCAAATCTAATGGTTATCATTGAATCCTCTTATCTTTTATTTTAAAAAACCTCTTACTTGGCCTACTCTGAAACCAAATATACAACTGATTGATATTAACATTGCGGGTCATATCTCGCATAAAAAATAGAAATGTCTCCTACGTTTCCCGTACTATTTGTAAGTAGCAATGCAATTTCATAGAGTCATTCGGTCTGAATGCTACATGAAGAACATAAGCTAGATGAAGGAACAAAAAGATCTAGGATGTAGAAGATCATAACATGAGTCATTCATAATATTTGGATTCATATATTATATATCCATTCATGTGGTATGGTACTTCATGATGTCATATAAAATATAGGAAATAAACAATATATCAGATATATCTGCATAAATATTATAATCTACATCCAGAAAGCCGTATGCTTTGGAAGAAGCTTGTACAGTTTGGGAAGAGGTTTCAATTGATCAAAAAGACGAATCTACTTCAACCTATATGTATTTAGGCACGATCATACATAACATAGAAATAACACTTGGAAAGGGTGGACAATTAGCTAGAGCAGCAGGTGTTGTAGCGAAACTGATTGCAAGAGAGGGTAAATTAGCAACATTAAAAATACCTTTATGGAAAGGTTTGTTTGATATCAAAAAATTGCTCAGCATCAATCGCATAAGTAGGGAATGTTGGGGTAAACTAGAAAATTTTAGGCAGAGCCGATGTTAAACGTTGGCAAGGTAAGTGTCATGTAGTAAGAGGGGTAGTTATGAACCGTGTAGGCCATCCACATGGGGCGGTGAAGGGAAGGCCCCAATTGGTAGAAAAAGAATTGTATTATTTTGAAATCTTAATAAGATACATTTATCAGTTTCGATCCAACAATAAATTGTTATTCTTAACAAATACTCCATCTGTCCCATATTATAAGAGAAATTTATTTTTTAGATTCATTGAATAATTAATGTATATGGTCTATATATAGACCAGATATATTAATTATTTAA